AACAAAATATATCTGTATATACATACTACTTCGCAGCCTTTCGAATGGTTTTATTATAAAAATTTAAGTAGTATGAAGAATATTGAAAACCAGAAAATTTTGCGTTGTAAGTTAAATTATTAAAATGAGATTTTTAACTGTCACAAAGTGGATGTATGATTTCTGTTCTAACACGCTTTTTCTCACATAATATGTGTGCAAGGTAAGATACAGTCGAATTCTTATACTTAGCTGTACGAGCATACAGTCTTATGTAGTTTCTACTTGTCCTCCCTCAGGAGATACATGGAGAGAGCTGTAAATGAAGTGGATGCTCACTGTCAATTAAAATTTATGTAGCTAGTTGCTTACAGGAATTTATATGTTGATCAACTACAGTGTTAATCAGTTGAGCCGAAGACACACCACTCACCTTGCTGATGGCCTTCAAAGCCCTACGCAACATAACATAGTCCTTTTTCAGAAGACTAGGAAAGACCAACGGAGAACAATAGAGAAGAGTAGGTAAAGTGCAGGAATTACTAAAGTGTAAAAGTAGAGAGCAAGTTACACCAGAAAGCCTCAGCTTCCTTATGTAATAAGTTAAACGAAAGATGTTTTTACAAGTCAATAAAATATGGGACGATCAACAAAGATCAGAAGTAAAACGCAACCCAAGATAGTTCACACTCAATTTACTTCCTGCAGAATTACCATCAGTACTGAAACAGGCGTCATGAGATTTAAGCAGCTCACATAAGTCTTGTTTACGCCTGAGGCTAAAATTAACGATCTAACATTTAGAGGGGTTTAGTTTGAGACCATGTGACAGAGACCATTTACCAACTTCAGACAAGAATTCATTTAATTTCAAGCAATCCGAAGAAGAGTTTACTGGAATAGAAATCGTCAGGTCATCAGCATACTTGATAAAATTAGTTTCAACAGAATAAGGCAAATCGTGCAAAAAAAGGAAGACAGAAAAGAGAAAGTACAGCACCTTGAGGCACACCAGCTTCAGTAAGTAATGAAGTCGAGTGCATCCCCTTATGAATAGCGTACCGTTTCCTTTCAGAAAAATAAGAATGTAGCCATTTTGTAATCCATGACTGAGTGTGAGCTATGGCAAACTTATTTAACAAAAGTGGTCTAGGAACAGAGTCAAAGGCTGATAAGTAATCCAAAAGCTACAACCAACATACCATACACCTTCGTCGAAACTAGAAACGATATTATGATGCAAGACAGTGGCTGCATCTAAAGCACCCCTCCGGTGTTTGTAAACAAACTGTTTTGGATCTCTGAGGGCGATCAATGAAGGCTCAATCACGAGGAGAAGTAATTTCTCCATTGTCTTCAGAAAAGGGGAAGTTATAAGGATGGGTCGTAAAGTAACATCTGATCCAGAAGATGGCTTAGGCACAGGTACAATTTTTATCTACTTCCAAACAGTGGGTATTATGTTTTTAGAGAAGGATACATTGAAGATATCTGTAAGTGGATGACATAAAATATCTGCACATTTTCTAAATATGATACTAGAAACACCATCAGGACCTAAGCTTTGAGAGGGATTCAAAGACTTTAGACATTGAAATACATCATTTGTATTGAAACCAGGAAAGCAGCTATCCACTTGACTTTGGACATTAGTAAGGGTGAAATTAGCTTGTCGACGTATAAATGATTTGTTTAACGCACAGACATCCGAACGAGTTTGTGTTGTCATCTGTTTTTTTACCAGTAAGCTCTTTATATAATTTCCATATATTGGAACAGTTCTTACACGATAGGAACTTCTGGTTGTATATAGTATTCAGACGTTGTAGTTCAGACTTAATTAGGCAGTTAAGCCTTTTAACTCCAGGGTGAATTGCTTTTTAACAACAGGTAAGGTTTGCTATTCCTTTTCGCTTGGTAAACGATTATTCAATCCTCCTGGATTTTGTGTTCTACATACTTTAATGAGCTATTTAACCCTAGAATATCGTGTAGTAAGCAAGGGTTAGTGTATTTTAGTTCCAGAATTATGTGTCAGTAATGTAACCAACAAAAGGACAAAAACCATTCTTTTTTACTTTGTCTATTGACACTGAGAAACAGTTACCTTCTCGTGAAAATTTTATTGAGGATTCGTTATGAATGATGAAAAATTGTGAAAAATGCTTATCGAATCATAGAGAAAAGAGGAAATAATTCAGAGGAGGAAATTTTCTTTCTCCAGCATATCGTTTTCTAAAACTGAAGAATCGTATTTACATATATATCACAAAACTATAACAGTCTATAAGATGTAACTGTATCATTAAGCTAGTGCTAAGAAGCTGGAATTAAGAATAGAACATATTTGCTCAGTAATCTTTCAGACAGTAGAAATTAAAAGGAAGGCAAGGGAGTATAACAAGTTGAAAATTCTATCTAGAGGTTTATAGAGATTTAATAATTGATTTTAGATTGAAATTCATTATGGACTAACATCAGGTGGAGCAGTATTGGAAACCTGGTAGCACTAGACAGCTGTTTCGTCCTAGTACGGGATTCTTCAGCAGTGAGTAAATATGATCCCACCCCGCCAAGGATCGAACCCAAAACTTTCAGGTTGCCATTTAGCGACGAAGTCGCAATCCAGTGATGCATATTTCCGACTTCTGTCAGTTCATTTCCCCCTCACACAATCTCCTCCATGTCACACTCACCTCCAACACCCAACTAGTCGTTACACATCTGCGTTTCACTCAAGCAACTGGCCTGACACGTAATGTCCCCACTCCGCCTTCTCAGTGTATCCACAATACATCTACACTCACTTCCAATACATTTTTATTGAGTGATAGCTTCTCCGTTGGTTCGTTACCAGCCAGTCAGAGTTCATTCTTGCTTATTCTCATTATTCTGGTCATCTGATCTGATCTGATCTGATCTGATGTGATCTGATCTGATCTGATGTGATCTGATCTGATGTGATGTGATGTGATGTGATCTTCGGTGACGAGCCAGTGTAGGCGTTAGTTGTTGATGATGCGTGTGTGTAGTTCAGTGGAAATGCCTTTCGTGACGCGCCAACTCTGTCAACCATCACATAGAAGCACTGACTCACTTGACTGACATTGGTGTTGGGAATCCGGATGTTGTTCATGCTTAATGCTGAGTGTAGTGTATAAGATCTTGACACTGGTTTCAGGTTAATGAACGCCTGTCTTGCTTTTCCGATCCTGGCTATGACGTCACGAAACAGTGTGACCTATTTCCAGTGTCATCGTGAGCTGACAGAAGTAGGAAATATAGAGCATTCGATTCCGACCCAGTAGCTCAATGGTAACGTGCTGGCAAAGGAACCTAAAGGTCCTGGATTCAACCTCTGAAGGGGTGGGGTCATGGGTGCGAATCGCCGAGAAGTTGCATACTAGAGTGAAGCAGCTGTCCGGCGCTCCTAGATTTCCCATCATATTCCAACTGATGCATGATCCGATGAATTTATAAGATCTCTGGATGACTATAATGCCACCAGTGACCATTCTGTCTGATACCTACAATCAAAACATTCATGATTTGGAGTACATATACACACATACATATATAACATACATACATACATACATTCACGCACACACAATCACACAGTATACAACAAGAGATATACAATTTCACACTGAATGATTAGTGGTGGTCGCTGGTTTGAAGCCGGACGCCGTCTAGATTTTCATCTCACCTTCAATCATCACTCAGTACAAATAATTTCGAAAGACAATGACCAGACGAAGAGTATTGGACAAGGAGATTAAATACAAGTTTTTTTGAGTTCATTTGTATATCTTTTTGATATTTCAATTTTGATTATTTCGCTGAAGAAATTCGCAGTAGAGTTGCGTGTGAAACAACGTTGGAATTATAAACATCCAGATGATAGCTGTTGCGAATCTCCTGGAAGAAGTTAAGCGCCGAGTTTGATTGAATCGTTGTAAGAATACATTTGATTTCAAACTCGGTGTGACTTAAACAAATATGCAATCTATATCCAATATTAACGTTTTACTCAGAGCCCAGTATTTACCATACTATATGATCGATTCTTTATCATAGTTTATGTAGATAAACTTTACATCTGAACCATTTAGTTCAGAGAATACAAAACCACTTAGATCGTCTTCCTGATCTCCAAATATTCTCCATCAACTCGAAATCCTACGAGATTTCAATGTCACTTGAATTCAGGCAATCTCCAAGAACCTCTGTTTCACTCAGATTTCGTGATTGTTGGTAATGTACAACCTCTAAGGAAGTGATGACTCCTCTGAAGTTCGAAGGATTATCACCCAGTGCTATTCACGGAGACGTTAACGACTGATCTGAATTTGGACTGGATTGAAGTGATTGATTAGTGACTAGAGAGTAACCCCTTTCCTGTTGTTTAGTCTTCGATGTTCAGTGAATTCCATGGATCGCTTCGCGATGTGGCCAACAAGCCCTGAGATTCACCATCAAGCAGCACTTTGACATGTTACAGTTGATTGGAGACAGCCGGTAATCATATTGTGTGGTCTTCACTTATTCTCAGGTTACATCTATGACTTCTATAAAGATTGACGGTTAATCTTTTACCGATTGACTAAACATTCATCAAATGGTCGAAGTAGGAACAAAAGGCAATAAAAGGCCGGGCTACCAGCCTAGTGGTTACTGGTTTGAATCCAGCCACGGTTCAAATTTTCGTCTCACCTTCAATCACCACCCAGTACAAATAATTTCGAAAGACAATGACCAGACGAAGAGTACTGGACAAGAAGGTTAAGTACACGTTTTTTGGTGTTTGACATTTTAATTTTGATTATTTCGCTGAAGAAGTTCGCAGTAGAGTTGCGTGTTAAATAACGTTGGGATTACTTGATTTCGAACTCGGTGTGACTTACACAAATATGCAATCTTCATCTCATATCAGTCTTTAACTCATCGCCCAATATGTGAGATACTATTCCACCGAATGTTGATTATAGTTTATATAAATTTTTTCAATGTTTGTTTAGCAAGAAAATCGATTACACGAGCTGCCGTTCCATTTGTACCAATGTTACATCCAAATCAACTTAAAGAATTAGAGAAAAGTCCAAATATAACACGACGTGCAAGTGCCCATGTTATCTGTCCTGTGAGTTTATTATAATCTATGACCTTCCGGATTTTCAAGTAATTTTTATAGCAGGCCAAAACCTTTAATGATTGAAGTTAAGTAAAAATCTGGTTTGCAGTCAGGTCTCATGGCTTAGTGGATAGAGCACTAGGCAAATAATCCAATGGTTACTGGTTCGAATCCAGCCGCAGTCTGAACTTCTATTTCACCTTCAATCATCACCCAGTATAAATTTTCAAAACGACTTTAGACTCCTACGTAGCATGTTTTATAGAGACATCACTGACTTGAACATGAGGCATATAGTCAAAACTCCATAAGAAAGCAATTAAAGCTTATTTCTGTATGACAGGAAGTTATAACTTCGAGTTGAACGCCATTTGAGAACAGTTTTTATCATAGAACCAAAGAACTAGTGGGGAATATTTATAGCTCAGGTGGATGGTCTTGGTTGTATTGTGTTCTCTAAGCTGGGTTGTTTAATCGCGACGAAGCTTTCATCGTCCTTCTAGACGATATCATCAGCTCATAAAGCAACAAACTCCCCACAAACACTATTATGCAGACCAAAGGATGCAACAAGCAAAGAAGACAAACCGAATATCATTTACTAAATCAACTACAATAACTAACTGTAGTCAACACCACATTGGACAAAGTGGTCACCATCTTCACCTTCGTCTACATGAACACCGATTGGCTATTAAATGTCACACACGACATTTCATCAGTCATTCCAATGCATGTGTGTAACAACTATGAACATGAATTCAATTTCGAAAAAGTAGAAATGTTGGACGGAGAGAGGAAACACAAAGAATGTCAGAGAATTCCTAGAAGCTTGACACCATTCAGGTCAGTCAGTCAGTCAGCAATCAACAGATGTATAGATATGATATACCCAATCTATCAACCGATGGGAAGGATGATGAACAACAGGAAGTTCAGAGGTGAAGCAGAGGGACAGTCATCAGGAAAGTCTATACAATCAATCAATGACACAATAATCGAAGGAAACAACCAATCACAGACTATATGGCCAGAGCAAGCCACTAAATGACTCACGGAGAGATATTGACAGCTGACTCACTTCATACTGAGGTTAGTGCTGATGATGTCATCTAGAAGGACGATGGAAACTTCTCCACAATTAAACAACCCAGCCAGCTCAGAGAACACAATACAACCAAAACCAGAGAGCTTCTTACAGTTGTTCATACTTATTTTATACTTCTCGACAGTAAGGACGTAACTTATACTTGGTAAAAAATAACATCGAATTGAACATGTTGATATATTAGGACTAACACATGCTTCAGTACACTTAGATATCCAATAAAGGTTGGACTGGTGAGATAGCTAAATTCGGGGGTGTTTTTGTTAACCTTAATTAAGTGTTATCCAGTCGTAACTTGATGATGAGATTGCTCTCACACCTTGATTTAGTTTACCTACAGTTTCATTTGTTAACGCTGGTACAGATTCTCTATTTGAGTAAGATCTAGGTATCTTTGATGTACCAGAAACGGTCATTTGTTAAGGATTGAAGTAGTACACAAACCAATGAAATCACTATACAGTTTGTTATATAAGCTGAATAGCCAGTTGCCAAAGAAAGACTGGACAAATATAATCTATCAGATCAACCGCAAAGATTGTTCACAATACCCCGTTCGTCACTCAGGAATTCATGAACATCAACTAGCAGTAAAGCTGTCTGACATAACGGCCTTGGTTTTAATGTACACAGACCAATATGATCAAAAACTCGACTCAGAGAATGTGGAAATCCTTCAAATAGCAGTTTTGAAAGCTACAGGAAATTTTTTTAGATGCATGGCATTCTAACTAAAGGTCATTAATAGACATGTGGTTATCGACACCATTTATTATCTACTTAAAAAGAAATATAGCCTTCCGTCAACCTTCGGTGATGGACGCAATATAATTCATTTACGTGGTAGGAAGTAAATTACCTATGTTGGATTGCAAAATAAAAGGAAGGACAGATGGTGGTTTGGATACTACCGTCTACAGAAAACCAACACATTCTAACAGGTATCTAAACTTCAAGTCATCTCATCTAGTGTCAGTTGAGGCTGGTTTAGTCAAATGTTTAAATGATAGAGGTAGAAAACTGACCAGCCAGAGCAAGGACCTAAACAAAGAGGTGAAACACGTAAAAGAAACCCTAGTAGTTAGTAATTATCTTTTACAGTTCATTAAGAAATTCGTTAGGACACACAAGAAAGGAAAAAATAACATTCATACAAGTACAAATAATAACATCAACAGAAGTAGAAAGGGATCAACAGCCTTCATTGTGTTACCCTATAGGAAGGGAACATCAGAAGCTTTACGTAGGATTCTCTACAAGGCTAAAATTAGGGTGGCATTTAAACCTACAAACTCAGAGATAAACCTTATCGGTCTAAGGATCCGATATATTCAAGTAAGCAAAATAATCTAATCCACCAAATCCCATACAATGACTATGAAGTTAAATACATCGAATCAACAGTCAACACCCAACACATGTAATAGGAATCATACAAGACCTGTACTAGAGGTATAGAGAATTTCGCTACGAATAGAAACAAAGAATAAGCTGTGAAAGATGTCGAAAGTAGTGAGATTACTTTGATATGACTGTGGGCGATAATAATACAGTGAATAATACTGTAACACACTGTGTATTGCAAGTCAAATAAACAAATCTAATCATGCAATTAAATTCTACCATAGCACCGAAGTTTCAAACTTATATCAAGGGGAACTTGACCAAAACAAATCAATCATAGACTACAGCATAATGGGTAATAAATATCACAGTTTCACTCTTACCAAACTTATCTACCAATGTAATTAGATGAAACTGGTAGTCAAAGAGGTTAGGATATGACAGAAATCTCTTCTCCCAAATCATCACCTCAATGTTTGTGCAACATTCGAATCTGCTTCACTTCTTTCTAAAGTTAGTACTGGTGATAATGATGATGATGATGTCACCTTGTCTGATGATGATTGAAATCTAGGCAGTATGCATATTTGATCTGTTTCTACTATTTCAGCATAGCAAATTTGATGTCATTGTAGTCTTTCAAATGATTAACGATTTCATGATTATCTGATGACATGTTAATCAATTGTCTTGTCTTTTTTCCCAGTTACCTCCACAGAATACTGATTTACGTTTTGATAAACCAATGCTTGACTCAAATTTACCTGACAAAGACAGTACTATCTCTCTTTCATTTCTTGGTTTACAATTGCCATCAGTTTCAAAATTACGTAGGCATAGTTGTGATGCACAACAAGAAGATAAAATGATCACTTCTTCACAGCTTCAATTACATACAAATAAGGATAGTTTATCTAGAAGAAGTAGTGATCAATCTTTACAAGAGAAAGAAATAACAAATTGGTATACTAATCAAAAATCACGTGGTTTACTCAGTTCAGATGAGAAAAGTTTACTTACTGCTCAAGTATGCGAAGGACCATTTGTACGTGGTGCAAATTCACAGACAAAGCCAACTTGGAATTTGGAACCGGTTAATGAGGCTGTTAAACCAGTCACTACATTAAGTCATGTAGGTTATCATTGTATCATATCTCACTAACGTATTAATTCATTACGATGTAAAAAAAAAATAGGGTGATAAATAAAACGCTGGATAATACAAGTAAACTATCCCCGTAGCACAACAAGTGGCTATCGTCACTCAGTGGTCTAATGGATAACGATGTGATCCATAGTTCGAGTCCTAGAAAGGACAACATCTGTCACTGTTTGACAAGTACATTCAGCTGGTAAGCCCCAAGTAGGATGAAATGCTAACGACTGTCCACTATTAATGCTGGTCAAATACCGGTGATTACGGGAGAAACTTAAAGGAAGTAGCCTCCTTCAAACACACACCTACGCAGCACTGTTTAAAGTATAGGTGGCGGTGGCACACACAAGGACGTCAAAATCAGACAGGGTCGCAAAGACAGCAAGACAGGCATTGACTAACCTGAAACCAGTGTCAAGATCTTATACAATACACTCAGCATTAAGCATGAACAACATCCGGATTCTCAACACCAATGTCAGTCAAGTGGGTCAGTGCTTCTATGTGATGGTTGACAGAGTTGGTGCGTCACGAAAGGCATTTCCACTGAACTACACACACGCATCATCAACAACTAACGCCTACACTGACTCGTCACCGAAGATCACATCACATCACATCACATCAGATCAGATCAGATCAGATCAGATGACCAGAATAGTGAGAATAAGCAAGAATGAACTCTGACTGGCTGGTAACGAACCAACGGAGAAGCTATCACTCAAGAAAAATGTATTGGAAGTGAGTGTAGATGTATTGTGGATACACTGAGAAGGTGGAGTGGGGACATCACGTGTCAGGCCAGTTGCTCGATTAGAACGCAGATGTGTAACGACTAGTTGGGTGTTGGAGGTGAGTGTGACATGGAGGAGATTGTGTGAGGATGAAATGAGAGTTTGTGGGCAATTGTGGAGCTGTGTTCAAAAGATTTCATAGAAGAGAGTGTATTGGTGACGTGTTACTGAATCCGTATGTTCTGTTAGGACTTCAATGGACAAATAATATTATTGTAATATGGTGAACTGATAGAAGTAGTAAACATGCATCATTGGATTGCGACTTCGTCGCTAAATGGCAACTTGAAAGTTATGGGTTCGATCCGATCGTATCTAGCCTATTAAAAGAGAATGTACTCTTAACAGTCCATATATTAGACCCTACAATAGAACATTTGAAAGTCATCAAATGCGGAGGCTTATCGTTTGAGTTGGTAAAAATCACTGAATGTCTGGTGAGTACCACATTGAAGGTTAACGTAAATAAAGTTACCTTTTCAGTAGGATAGAAATTCTTTCCGTCAAGTTATGAACAGTAAAGTCATCTTTGGGGTCCAGATTCATGTATAATACCCGGCCCCCATTTGACGCAGAAACTCTCCCAAGAATCAAACTTTCTGCTTTTAAGCAGTCACTACCGCAAATTCGTACAATACGGCGATCATTGGACATAATTAGAGTCTTTTATTCAATTATAAATAAGGATAAAGTTACCTGTATGGATTTTCAGTTTAAAGAGATATTTTTACTTCACTGAAAATAATGAACATAACCTTACACGGTTACTCATAGTGAGTGAAGAAAATTAGGCGATAGGTCTAATTTTCGCCTCATAATTTTCTCTCCCACTGACAGAAATAGACATTTTTTTCCAATTAGGATCGCACTTTAAAAACTGTACTCCAACGAAAACAGAAGTCTTGAAAGCCATAAAACAGCTGAAAGCCGGTAAAGCAGCAGGACCACATGGAATTTCCCTAGACACACTAGAAAAAGATGCAGCAACATGAGTGGACATGCTCACATCATTATTGCTGAAGGTTTGGAAGGAAGGAAAGAAAGGTACTTGTCAATTGATTGGAAAAAGAGCTACTTTGTCAAACTCCCACAGAAAGGCAACCTAAAACTTTGCAAGAACTGTCGAGGAATCATGCTCCACCCTTGTCCACCACAAGCAAAATATTATACCGAATCATCCTGGAGAGACTAAAAAATGCTGTGCATTCAAAAGCACTACCGGAACAGGCTGGCTGGCTTGAAGATAAACAAATCATGTGTGGATCAAATGGCAGTGCTAAGCATCATCATGGAGTACACCATAGAATGGTAGTCAACTCAACTCTCCCTCAACTTCATCGATTTTGAAAAGGCCTTCGATAGCGTCAGCCATGGAGTAATTTACCAGCTGCTTCAAGACGGCGATGGTGCCACAAACCTTTATCAGTCTCATCCAACAGCAGCTATATGCTGTGCTATATGATGCCACATCTTCTGCACTCAGCATGTGGAACAAGATACGGATTTTCAACACCAACGTCAAGTCAGTGCTCTTGTATGGCTCAGAGACTTGGCGCGTCACGAAAGGCATTTCCAATAAACTACAGACATTCATCAACAACTGCTTACGCTCGCTGCTGAAGATCAGATGGCCAGAAAAAATAAGCAACAAGGAACTCTGGTAACGAACCAACCAAGAACCTATCACGCAACAAATATGCAGGAAGAAGTGGAGATGGATTGGCCATGCACTGAGAAGGCCGACTGAGGACATCACGCGTCAGGCCCTCGAGTGGAATCCCCATGGGAAGCGACGAGTTGGACGTCCGAGGGTGACATGGAGGAGGTCATGCGAGGAGGAAATGAGAGGCTGTGGGCTGTCGTGGGACCAGGTTCAAAAGATCTCAGAGAACAGAGGTCACTGGAGGCGTGCTACTGAAGCCCTATGTTCCACTAGGAACCCAAGGGACTAATAATAATAATAATAATATGATGCCACATGCCAAGTGATTTACAACGGAAAGCTCAGTAATGCCTTTGAAGTGAAGACAGGGGATAGGAGTAAGACAAGGTTACCCCCTGCTATCATCGATGATCATCCCGATTGTGATCAAGTGAACTAGATCATACAACGGACTGTGAGAAGCTACAGAATGAGCACACGCTGACTGGACCGATGAAAATACACCGGAAAGAGATTTGGATTTCATGTATGACGATTTACGTCTAATGTCTTGTCGCACAAGCTCGAAGATCTGCAGGCGAAAACTAACAAGTTGACAGAAGAAGTGACGCAGCGAAGGAAGACGGCACTTCTTTCAGGTGAATGTAGAGAAGACAGAGGTGATGAAGATACCCAACCAGCAACAACAAGCATAAATCACTATCAAAGGGAGAAATATAAACGAAGTAATCTCTTTCACCTACCTGCCTGGTTAGTATCCTTTCAAATACAGGGGGCGGCACAGATGATGTCATAATGTCAGGATCGGAAAGATAGTTAGACAGGCCATCATTAAACTGAGATCAGTATGAAGGTCTACTGCACTCATCAGAGACCGTGAACAAGATCTTGACTTTCAACACTAATGTCAGTGAAGTCAGTACTTCTACGTGATGGTTCAGAAACTTGGTGCCTCACGAAAGCAATTCCAACAAACTACAGACATACATGACATGAACAGCTGCCACCTACACTCACTCGATACTGGTAGTGAAGTTGGAGATGGAGATTGAGATTGAGATGGAGATGGAGAAGGAGAAAGAGAAGGAGATGGAGATGAGATGGCGAGGATAATAAGAATAAGCAAGGAGGAACTCAGTGTGGCTGGCTGGCTGACAACGAACCAACGGAGAACCTGTTGCCCAAAAAATATGGAGTGGGAGAGAGTGGAGATGGATTGGATGGGATATAGACTAAGAAGACGGTTTTGGGACATCACGTAACAGGTCAGGCGAGGCCGTCGAGTGGAAGATAAGTGGGAAGGACGAGTTGAGTGTGCAAGGGTGACATGGAGTATATTGTATGAGGAAGAAATTAAAGCTTATGGTTAGTGTTGGAGCCAGGTGGAGCCAGACTGGAGAGAAGAGAGTGCAGTGAAGGCGTACTACTGAATCCCTATGTTCCACTAGGCACCCAAAGGAGAGAAATAATAAAAAAATTTTAGACTGATAATCAATGTTATCATATAGATAATCATGAACCAATAAAGATGAAGTTGATTAAAGTTTATTGAGCTTTATTTACTACTCAAATAGTAAAGGAAGTAATTTAGAAAAGAAAAATTAAATAAAATCTATAATTTCTACTCCAGTATGTTTAATGATTAACTACTTAATAATATTGAGTACTAATGCCAGGCTTCACCCTTTTAAATAAATCAGCTTCTTACAATCAAAATAAAACTGAACAAAATTATTGATTAAAGATTTCGACTCAAATTATGATAACAGCAGATTATGATCCATGGTAGGGTTATGAGTACATACTGCTGAGTAGTCCAAAACTAGGATAAAACAGCCCTTCAATACTCTCCGGTTCTAATTGATTATCCAAATGATATCAGTCCAGGCAGGTTGAAATGGATATTCACCTACGTTCATTTATATCACTGAACCTTATTTTATACAATGGGATCCTCTTTGTCATAAAGAACATACGATATATTAAATTTCGAGATTTATTTATTGATTTCAGGTTGGTATTTGTTATGGACTGACATCAGTTGTAGGAGGATTGGAGGTTTGGGAGCACTAGATGGGACCCCTTAGCAGTGTACACTCATAACCCTATCACTCTAGGGATGGGATCCAGAACTTTCAACCAAGTCTAACATGAGGTGAACTTACTCAACAACGGCATTGGATGTAGCTAGCACTATATCGTCACCTGACAGAAATAGCTCAGTAGTAACTTGCTGACCACGGAACCGGAACCTCATGGGATCAGTCTCTGGCGAATTCATAGGTGCAAACTACAAAGTGGTTCCAAGTTTTCGATGTTTCTCCATCTGATATTAAACCATGACGTATACCAAGCTAAAAATATAAGACACACCTTTATTTTTAAGTCAAAATTTGCAAGATATAGTTAAAGCTTAAAACTTTGTCATTCTTCAGTATTCATTGCTAAACAAGCAACGAAATATTCTAATTACTTCTGCACTGACGATGATGTGTCTAATTTCTGGTGGTAGATTTTCAGGTCTACTAGTAAGCTTTTACGCTCTATCATTTAGACATTCAACTATTATTATTATTTGTCCCTTGGGTTCGTAGTGGAACATACGGATTCAGTAGTACGTCTCCATTCCACTCTGTTCTCTGAAATCTTTTCAACCTAGCTCCACAACTGCCCTCACACAATCTCCTCCATGTCACTCTCAGCTAGGACGCTGAACTCTTCGTCTCTACTTTGGATTCCACTTGAAGGTATGGCTTGGCATGTAATGTCCCCCAAATGGTCTACTCAGTGTATGCCAAATCCATCTCAACTTCTTTCCACTGCATATTTGTTGAGTGATAGGTTCTTGGTTAGTTCGTTAAAATAGCAATAACTATAAATAATTATGACTCATAAAATTTGTTATCCAACAAGCTATTAGGTGATAATTCAAAGTTGTGAAGATAAACATCTAATTGATGTGTAATTTGTTTACATATATATTTTAGAAATTAGGTAGCGAATTGAACAGCAGACATCATGCTTCCCGAAGATCAAGTTTTACCACCATTGGAGATACTGTGGTAAGCTTTCAATTGACTAATTTTATTCACTTTAATGCAAAAAAACTGATTTCAACTATTATTATTATTTGTTGCTTGGCTTCCTAGTCGAAGATAGGGTTTCAGTGACACGTCACCATTTCACTCTCTTCTCTTCAGTCTTTCCAACTTGGCTCCATCACTGCCCAAAAGCTTTCATTCCTTCCTTACACGATCTCCTTCATGTCACCCTCACCTTAAAAGCCCAACTCGTTGTCTCCCCTTTGGATTCCACTTAAAAGCCTGATGGCTTATGTCTGAAGATGGTTTTCTCAGTGTATGCCCAATCCATCTTCACTTTTTTCTGCATTATTTCATCATTGTATTATCAATTTATATTTCAAAACGGGTATTAAACTGTGCAGAAATAGCAAGGAATAAGTTTATGCTTATTCCTTATATTTTCTTTGTGCTTTGAAGTTGTTTTAGCGATTGTTGAATTGGTTTTATGGGGTAGGGTCCCTAGCCCTATGCCCAAACTTCCCTCTTTATCCAGGTTTAAAACTGGCTAGTAACTAGTGAATTAATTACATAGGTGAAGTTAATTTCAACTTTTATACCTATCTTAAATCACTTGTTTGTAAACACTGTCAGTTGGTGAACAAGTTTCAGGTATTATTCATGCTAAAGACGAACAAAATATCTTCAATTCTACCTGTAACATAATGTCTGAGAGGAGTGGTTCAAGAACTTTTGAATGTCACTGATGTAACTTTTAAGGTAGCTAAAACCATTATTATAAATCTTTGTGGTGACTTGATATAGCCTGAGTTATGTATGTGGGGATCCCACACCTAATGGCCACCCAGTTCCTCCGTGGTGGCGAAAGGCGGTTATATAAAAGAAGGTATGTTCATAATGTGAGTGTTAACAAGTATATACGACATATACGGTTTCTATTTATTACAATGGTCTTGACTATTTCCAGGCATTTCTAGACTGGAATACTACTAATTTCTCGTCCCTCTAACCAACTTAATACTTCATGTATTTCTTCCGGCAATTTCGAAGCAAAAAGATTAGCGGCAAATGGCTTCAGATATACACAAAGATCAAATATACACTGAAAAAATTATCCGCAGATATCATCTGACAGGCCTTCAAGTGGAATCCAAAAGGGAAACAACGAAGTGTGCGTCCAAGCTGACTGTGACATGGAGGAGATAGTGTGAGGAAGAAATGAAAGCTTGTGGGTAGTGGTGGAACCAGGTTGAAAAGACTACAGAGAAGAGAGTGAGATTTCGACGTGCTACTGAAGTTGTATGCTCAACCAGGAACCCAAGGAATAAATAATAATGATAATATAATGATGTCTTTTGATTGACTGGTGACTTTTCGATGGATCATGAAAATTATTGTTTAGTGATCCTTTGCTAAATCTGACTTGTGGCACAGTGCAAAGCTTGAAATGAGCAGAATGATTGACTTGAACTTGGCAGAAGAGTATTTGTCAAGCCTTCTCCTCACTACTTAAGAAAAATAAAAGAATATGTGTATGAAAAACCTCCTATAGTTTTAGATGCATAATTCCATTGTTGTACCTTCCTTCCCAGAAGACTTAGCTTTCGCCACCGATGACTTGTATCCAAAGTCACACAAACTCGCAGATCTACAAGCAAAAACTAACAACTTGACAGAAGAGGCAAGGTGAAACAGCAAAGATGGGACTTCAAGTGAATTTAGAGAAGACAGAGGTGATCAAGATACACAGCCAGAAACACCACCACCACCAACAACAACAAAAACAACCATCCCCAATCACCATCAACGGGAGAAAATCGAAGAAAGTAACCTCCTTCAAACACACACACAGGCAGCACTGTTTCGACTACAGTTGGAGGCAAAGATGAGCATGTCAAAATCAGACACGATCGCAAAGACAGCAAGACAGGCATTGACTAACCTGAAACCAGTGTCAAGATCTTATACAATACACTCAGCATTAAGCATGAACAACATCCGGATTCTCAACACCAATGTCAGTCAAGTGAGTCAGTGCTTCTATGTGATGGTTGACAGAGTTGGCGCGTCACGAAAGGCATTTCCACTGAACTACACACACGCATCATCAACAACTAACGCCTACACTGACTCGTCACCGAAGATCACATCACATCACATCACATCACATCACATCAGATCAGATCAGATCAGATCAGATCAGATCAGATGACCAGAATAATAAGAATAAGCAAGAATGAACTCTGACTGGCTGGTAACGAACCAACGGAGAAGCTATCACTCAAGAAAAATGTATTGGAAGTGAGTGTAGATGTATTGTGGATACAGTGAGAAGGCGGAGTGGGGACATCACGTGTCAGGCCAGTTGCTCGATTAGAACGCAGATGTGTAACGACTAGTTGGGTGTTGGAGGTGAGTGTGACATGGAGGAGATTGTGTGAGGATGAAATGAGAGTTTGTGGGCAGTTGTGGAGCTGTGTTCAAAGGATTGCAGAGAAGAGAGTGTATTGGTGACGTGCTAGTGAATCCGTATGTTCTATTAGGAACCCGATGGACAAATAATAATAATAACCGTCCTGATTTTGCAAAAATACTTTAAGTTCATCCTAACTAATCGTGTGAAGTTAAGCATTACAATGGGTTTTTTCACTGTGAAATGAACTATATTCACTCATGCTCTCTTCAGCATTCAGTGCTATGATTCTATTTTGGTTCCGTTTGCCAACAAGCCCCATATTTTAGATAAAAGCCTCAGATCTTGTGTCTAATTTTAGCCGAAGTAATTTAGGTGTAATTGGTCTGGTCATTGAATCTAAACTATACATTAAACCTACATCTTAATATTAGTTCTTTTAGGTGACTCGTAGGTAATCCAATGTAAATATTATTTGAACCAACGTAATCATATAGATAACTAACGGTTTCAACAACTGGAACATTGGTAAATAAAGAACAAACATCAAGTGATATCATACGCTTACCCGTTACCTTGATATCTCCGATACAGCGAACAAAAGCAAATGTGTTGGGAAGATTATATTTGTACGGATTCGATCTCACCGGTTTAGGCATTTTAGCAAGCCAATTTGCCAATGAGTGATATGGTGAATTAAGCATATCCAGTACTGGAAAGCCATCTCTAAATAGGAAGGAATGAGGGGATCAAATGTAATTTGACCTAGCCTCAATCCACTCCCACATACTTACATAGTCATCTGACATACGATAACAACCATCAGCAACACATGTCGACATACAAATCTCAATATGTACTTCACACACACTCAGACAATACTACATGTGGATATCGTCTTCATTCTACAGTTCTGATTACGTGGATAATCATTCATAGAGAAGAACACTTGTCAAGTTATCATGCATCCCACACAGCTTGGGGGATACTGTAAATCCCTATGACTTTGATAAAGCTGTTAGCACGAAATGTCAGTCGACACAAACTTATTTTACATTCATTGGGAAATAGAAATACGAAAATAGTGAGTATCACTTACCCAATACTCAAGTTTTTTTTCAAACCATAAAATCTCAACCCGGTTTGTATATCTATTCGTCTTCTGATTTACTGTAAGTTATACAAGTCGAAAGTAACTCATCAATCTTGAACTCATGAGTGTTGGTTAGAGTAGACTCTATTTCAAAATCGAAATTATCTACCAAATAAGCAGATCAAGTAAGATTATTACCAGGATAAATTAACAGTATATGCTAATTAGTTGGTTGACATCATTCTCTTGTGATAATAGGAAATGAATTTTAAGGGAGTTGTGGCGATTTGTAGAGATTTCAGGTTGTTATTCATCGTAGACTGACATCAGTTGAAGGAATAGAGGAAACCTGGGAGCATTGGACAGCTGCCATTCCGTCCTAGTATGGCACTCCTCAGCAGTGTCCACCCACGACCCCGCACTCTAAGGATCGAACCCTGCAACCTTCAGGTTCCATGGCCAGCACGTTACCATTAAGCCACTGGGTACGAATTCAGAGGTCCATATTTCCAACTTCTATTAGATCACGATATAGCACAACCGCCACCCAGTGTCATCGTTGAGTAACTGTCCTCACGACCATCAGGCTTTGCTCCTACCGGTCACGACTTCCCATTGGAACTTCGGGAATACCTCTTGTGAGCTAACAGAAGCTGAAAGTGTGGACCATTGGATTCTGACCCAGTGATTTAATGCTAACGTACTGGTCATCGAACCTGAAGGTCCCAGAGTTCGATCTCTGGCAGGGTCGTGAGTGCTCAGCGCTGAACAGTCCTATAGTAGGACGAAACAGCTGTCCAGTGCTCCCAGGTTTCTTCTGTTCTTCCAATTGATGTCATTCTACGATGAATAACAACTTGAAATAATAGGAATTGTAAGTGTTTGACTTTCTTTTCCACAGATGCTTAATGATGATTTTTCATTTCAAAATGTATATCATTTATTTTGTTAAAATTATCATTTTATAGTTTTTTTTCCTCTTTATTCTATTATACAGATGAATTTGTTAACAAAGTGAATTTTCATATCCCTACCATGAATATCTGCTGACTACAATAAAATCAGGGGTCAACAGAACTTTAGCGATACGAGAGATAAACAAATTTTAACAGACTGTCTTTTTGACAATAATTCTTTCTGTTAATATCGTGTAAAAAAAAATGTTATCATTCAGCAAGAATTATCATTATTACTGTTATTATTATTATTATTATCGTCACCAGTGCTGTCCAACAATTGACGCATTTGATCCTCTGTACTACATATAAATGTTATACTATATCGATTTTGTCTGACTGGTTTCTTTGAATAGAATAAAAGTATTTCTCAGTCATTAACATAATGTAAGTATTATTGTGTTATCTTGGTTACGCCTACGTTATCTATCTCATTATTATTATTATTTGTCCATCGGGTTCCTAATAGAACATACGGATTCACTAGCACGTCACCAATACACTCTCTTCTCTGCAATCCTTTGAACACAGCTCCACAACTGCCCACAAACTCTCATTTCATCCTCACACAATCTCCTCCATGTCACACTCACCTCCAACACCCAACTAGTCGTTACACATCTGCGTTCTAATCGAGCAACTGGCCTGACACGTGATGTCCCCACTCCGCCTTCTCACTGTATCCACAATACATCTACACTCACTTCCAATACATTTTTCTTGAGTGATAGCTTCTCCGTTGGTTCGTTACCAGCCAGTCAGAGTTCATTCTTGCTTATTCTTATTATTCTGGTCATCTGATCTGATCTGATCTGATCTGATCTGATCTGATGTGATGTGATGTGATGTGATGTGATCTTCGGTGACGAGTCAGTGTAGGCGTTAGTTGTTGATGATGCGTGTGTGTAGTTCAGTGGAAATGCCTTTCGTGACGCGCCAACTCTGTCAACCATCACATAGAAGCACTGACTCACTTGACTAACATTGGTGTTGAGAATCCGGATGTTGTTCATGCTTAATGCTGAGTGTATTGTATAAGATCTTGACACTGGTTTCAGGTTAGTCAATGCCTGTCTTGCTGTCTTTGCGATCGTGTCTGATTTTGACATGCTCATCTTTGCCTCCAACTGTAGTCGAAACAGTGCTGCCTGTGTGTGTGTTTGAAGGAGGTTACTTTCTTCGATTTTCTCCCGTTGATGGTGATTGGGGATGGTTGTTTTTGTTGTTGTTGGTGGTGGTGGTGTTTCTGGCTGTGTATCTTGATCACCTCTGTCTTCTCTAAATTCACTTGAAGTCCCATCTTTGCTGTTTCACCTTGCCTCTTCTGTCAAGTTGTTAGTTTTTGCTTGTAGATCTGCGAGTTTGTGTGACTTTGGATACAAGTTATCTGTGGCGAAAGACAAATCTTGTACGTTCTTTTACGCGGTCCAGCGTATCCCATTCTTCTCACTGTTTGTTGCATGATCCAGTCCATCACATTCAGAAATATCAAAGGTGACACAAGACAGCCTTGTTTTACTCTTGTCTTCACTTCGAAGACATTACCGATCTTTCCATTGTGAATTACGTCACATATGGCGTCTTCATATACTTGTTGAATGAGATTGATATAGGTTTGTGGTATTTCACAGTGTCGGAGCAGTTGCCAAATTACTTCTCGATCGATGCTGTTGAAGTCACTTTGAAAGTCGATGAAGTTGAGGTAGAGTTGACTGGACTGCCACTCTATGCTCTATGATGATGCGTAGCGTTGCAGTTTGGTCAGCACATGATTTGTACTTCCTGATTCTAGACATCCTGTTCTGGTCGTAGTTTTGAATCTAGTGCATGGTTTAGTCTCTCCAGGATGATGTGGCATAACATTTTGCTCGGGGTGGACAGGAGCATGATTCCTCTCCAGTTCTTTTAAAGACTTAGGTCGCCTTTCTTCGGGAGTTTGACCACGTAGCGCTTTCCTTCCTCGCAGACCTTCTGCAGTAATGGTGTGAACATGTCCGCTATTGTCTCTGCGTCTGCTCTCAATGCTTTTGGCGGGGCTCCATCTGGTTATACTGCTTTCTCGCAATTCAGTAGTTTTATGGCAATCAGGACTTCGACTTCAGTCGGAGGACTTATGTTCACTGGTAGTTCTGATAATGTCTCACAATTTGCTGTCCTCAGTGATATCTTCGGTATACATTCTTTAGAAGAGTTTACTGTCATCCTAAACAATGTTCGCCCATGATCCTGGTTGGGTATAGTAGTTCTGTTCTCGAACATTGGACGCTGAATTACTTACTGTATAAACAATGAAAATCTAACATCATACAGTTTAAAATTTAACGTGTTTACAATCATTGAATTCACAAATGATTCTGACCTACATACAAAGTGGACTTAATACATTAAAACTTTTGACTCAAGATCTAGAAGGATCCGTATCAACAGTTTGACTATCAAGCTGAGAATAAACGAACATTTGGTTAGACACTTTCAAAGATTTTTGGTAACCTTCAGTTCGTTGAAATGGATTTCTGTGAATAATCTTTGTGTTTTCTTATAATGGTTGAATTTTTTCATACATAATAAAACTGACTTTTCCAAATGTTTACATTATTTACTCCCATTATACACTGTAAAATTTAACAACACTTCTCATTCCATCGTATAAATAGTAATTAGTGACTTAATAACATTGCCAGGCGACTAAATCGTTTCTGGTGATATACTGACCCATTAACCGAAATAATAACAATAATAATAATTAAATAACCATATAGTGAAGTAAACATATACGTTAGTTGGTTTGAGGCAATGGACAAGGTGCCTTGCTGTAAAAAGATTTCAGGCTTGTCGGCATGCATCAGTAAGGCGTACTAATATCACGAGAAAACTAGTGTTGCCTATAATCATTTGAACCTGAGTCACTCAGAAATGCAGTCAGAAGGTAAATCATTAAGTTATTCAGTCTCCGACTCACCTTCTGTACATGATGATGAATGCCAACGAGCAAGAAATCTAGGGTGGCTAAAGGCTTCCTGCTGATTACCTTCGACCAACTAACATTCATCAAAGTGCATGGCTATGATAAGCCTCTTAGCTTCATAGCTACATTATAAAATGACTAAGAGAATTATCAACAATCAGGAATGAACAGCATGAAATTGGCTACTGTCTAGCGACTAATCAATGTATCTAATCCAATCCTACAATGGGATAATCGTGGCTCAAAAAACGCACTGTTCACGTAGGTAACTTCGATACCGTTTCACGGAGAATATAAGTTCCTTCAAGTTTTCTGAGACATTTTTGCTGATGAATGTGAACAACCACGATACTTAGATGCAGCATAGTATTGCCCTTCAAGACACCAATTCAAGAATCAATTAATTTCAATTATTGTCTGGAGATACGAAGGCGCCAACAATAAATTTACGAACAGTCCTAAGTCAACCAACGTCATACATATACTCCCAACATCACCCAAGAAGTTCGTCTTCACTTACTCTTTTGTAAGCATTTCATCAATACAACTACAAATTACGCCACTTGCTCCTCAATACACCTGTGAATCAAAGCTGAACAAACTTCACATACAGGTCTAATGTAAGAATCTTATTCACCAAACGGTTTCTCTAACTGCTTTACCAGTAGAATATCTACCATAGTTTAGGTACACATTAGTTGGTTGATCTCAGTGATGCTTAGATTCTCAAGCACATGATTTATTCATCTGGCTGACTGGAAGTATTGAAGCATAACTGAGAAATTATAATAACACCCTGATAAAGGTAAAGGTGTACTTCCATTTTAGTTTATTTATTAGAAATGTTATGCAGTGAAGTAATGGTATCCTTCACTGGATAACGACATTTCGGACACAATTTATTGTCCATATTCATATCAGCAGGTAACTCCGCAACCTTCAGACAGGGTTGATATAGTCCTAATTTTCTCTCCTTCTCTGTGATAACAAGGGTTACAGAACTTTCTCGAATATCTGGAACTGGTGTACAATCATTTCTGTTACTGCATGTAGATAAACAAGGATTCGGTTATCAATCTTTCCCTTCCTCCACTCAACTAAGTTATTTTTCAACACTGTCACTCTATCCCACCCTACTGTGTGATTGTGTGTAATTACGTGTAGACCAAAAGTGAAGCTCTTTTCTAAATTTCTAACCTTATTATTAGTATCTACCAGTTTTCATCCAGCTAGGGGTTTGTGCTCTGTTGTTTTAAATGATCCTGGTCGACTGCATTGATCTATGTATTTTAGGCGCAATTGTTGCAAGATATTCAGCTAACTAAATTACTTTACTTAGTTGGATGAATAGGTTGTTTTAACCTACAAAGCTCCTTTGCAAGCAAGTTTGTTGATTTAAATGTCCGACACTTTAATCCCAGCCAGTCTACTGAGAATTCTTAGTAGTGCTTCTATGTTGCCTTCCTTATATCGTAACATAGCTGAGGCTTTGAATTCTCTTTCAAAACTGCCACCAAGAAGAATTCTCACAACAAGAAATTCTCAGTAAGGCAGAGATTGAAGTAACTGGCATTTAATAACGTGAGAAATTTAGAAAAGAGCTTCACTTTTGGTCTACACGTAATTACACACAATCACACAGTAGGGTGGGATAGAGTGGCAGTGTTGAAAAATAACTTAGTTGAGTGGAGGAAGGGAGAGATTGATAACCGAATCCTTGTTTATCTACATGCAGTAATAGAAATGATTGTGCACCAGTTCCAGATATTCGAGAAAGTTCTGTAACCCTTGTTATCACAGAGAAGGAGAGAAAATTAGGACTATATCAACTTTGTCTGAAAGTTCTACTCCCATAGGCGGCACACATGAGGATGTGAAAACCAGGAGCGGGAAGACAGCCAGACAGATTTGCATTAACGTGAAATAATCACTGTGAAGATCTACTGCACTCAGCACAAAGCGTGAATAACATCCAGATTTTCAACACCAATATCAGTCAAGTCAGTGCTGTTATGTGATAGTTCAGAAACGTGGCGGTGGGTTAAGCAAAGCACTTCCAACAAACTAGACATTCATCAACAGCTGCCACCTACACTGGCCCGAGACAGAAGATGAGATCAGATGGTCATAATAATAAGAATAAGCAAGAAGGAATTCGGTCAGGGTGACGAACCAACCAAGAACCTATCGCTCAACAAATATGCAATGGAAGGAAGTGGAGATGGATTGGACATACACTGAGAAAACCACTTGGGGATATCACGCTCCAGGCCAGGTTGTTGAGTGGAATCCAAGGGGGAAACGACAAGTTGGGCGTCTGAGGTGAAGGTGACATGGAGGAGATAATGTGAGGAAGGAATGAAAGCTAGAGGACAGTGGTGGAGCTAGGTCGAAAAGACTGGAGAGAAGAGAGTGG